TTAAGTACCATATATCAATTGTAAGACTGTTACTAATTTTCAATTATCTCTATTTCAATTTTGATTATGATCTGGTAGATCATCATAAAATATGAGCGTTGTAAAATGTATGTATAATACATACGTTTTTTAATGCTTTTGCTAGTGCTCAACTATGCTTGAAATTCTTGATTACAAATACGTAAATTATACATTGTTACCAAAACAGTGAAATTTGTCTTGAATACTTAAATCTATACCTTATATCTATCTATCAAAAACTATAACATCTTCCATTATTTCCTTCATCACTGTTTTATCACCATATTTTTTTTCTCTTGTGTTTCCCTTTCTATCCTATCAAAATTTTCCATCCAGATTCTCCTCCCTGCCCTTTCTCAACACATGCTTATCAACATTCTTATGCTCTCTCCCCTTCTCTATGTACGTATCTCTGTTGTATGTATGCAGGTCTGGAGAACTTCGTGGAATGAGTGAGAGTGAAGGAGCGAGAATCCCCAGGATCTTTTCTTCTTATTCTTATGTATATTCTTTTTACAGCCAGTGTCAGATTAAGTTTTCTAAAGGAATTCAAATGTATTCCATCATTTTTTCTTCCACTATTTCATTTATTATAGTGTACATGTACATTGTGTTTTTATAAAACTACCTTCTATCTCTCTTCCATTCTTCATTTCTACCCTCCTCTTCGCATGCTTCGCATTTATCTCGAGCGTAGCCTAGCTGTTTTGTATAATACGATAAGAAAAAACGTTCAAAAGGTCTTGATAAACTATACTGGATTAACCGGTGTAAAATGCGATACGAACAGTGTACATATATAGACATAGACTTATATATGTATGTTACCGAAGAAAGTTACGCTTCAATCGCGAGTTACTTTCAATACGTGTTGCTAGAGTAAATGGTAACATCTGTTAGTACTGTTTGTTATTAATAAAAATATTACAGCGAATAATAAATTACATCATCTTCAAAATACGATATTTAAAAAGGCATAGTATTATAAATATACATAATTAAGTTTAATTATTAGTAATAACCATTTAAACTATGGCAACAGATGTCTATTTAAAATGAGAATATTCATATTTAATATTTTAATGATTTCTTTTATATTAACATAAAATTAACCTGTATTTAAATCTATTCTCTGTTAACATAAAAATAACTACTTTCTGATATATTTTTAGTGGATTATTAAATAATTTTAAATACTATAAATAATTGAACTTAAGTCATACGTATTAGGCACTTGTATTTCGTAACGTCGTTGTTTGAATGTCTTTTTCTTGAGAATTTCTAGGTTAGATATGCATTACGGAACCTTCTACACATAATCTGTGTAATACTGAGTTTATAGAAAATATTAAAAATCTAACATCGTATTGCTTATTTCATGTTTATTGTCATGAATTAGGAAACGATTGACGATGCTTCGGAATTGGTCAAATTTAAATCGACGCAATCTTCAATTGGTTGAAGATTTGCTAATCGCTCGAATGCGACGTATAAAAGAACGTGTTGTACAGGGATACCCTCCAGAAGTCTTTCGAGTTTCAAATCGTAACGTATACCTATCACCTACTTGTTGCACGCCGGAACATGTGAGTCAAATTATACAATATTATGTGCATATTTTAAGAAAAAACATTTCAAATACAATACTTTGAATGTAATAACTAAACTTAGTAAATGATAAAGATAATAGTAGTATAGCTATTTTGTTAAAATTTGCAATATTTTAATAAGCTAAATTTGAGGACATATTACTGATAAATTTTGGAAAAGTAATCAAGTTTCGGATATAATAGAAATTTTCTTCGACAAATAGACACAAATTACATTATATCATATCAATAACGTATAGGTGGTAATTAACTCAAACCCTTTGAATTTTATAAGTACAATGTACATACGTATTGTAAGATCTCTTTATAAAGCAAGTAATATATATTAAAATAAAAGAAATATTGTTAAAATAAAATATCCCTATTTGATTAAATTTATTCGTAACTTCTTTTTTCAATAAATTTATATTTTATGTGAGTTTAAAAAATGTTACATTTTTTACAGAATATGCTTAGTATACTTCATAGTAATGTTTGGGAATCAGACCCAGAACTCTTTGAATTGATGAAGAAAGAGAAAAAGAGACAAAAACATGGCATTGAATTAATTGCTAGTGAAAATTTTACATCCCTCAGTGTACTTCAGTGCTTAAGTTCTTGTCTTCATAATAAATACAGTGAAGGTTTACCTGGACAAAGGTATAGTTTTAGATTGCATTAATTATTATTAGTTTTTATATATTGTACACCTATTTAAAGTTTTATATCTCTAATGATTTTAGATATTATGGAGGAAATGAATATATTGATGAAATAGAACTGTTAGCACAAAAACGTGCTTTAGAAGCATTTAATTTAGATCCAGAAGAATGGGGTTGTAATGTACAGCCATATTCAGGGAGCCCAGCTAACTTTGCTGTTTATACAGGTTTAATTGAGCCTCATGGCCGAATAATGGGATTAGATCTCCCTGATGGAGGACATCTTACTCATGGTAGTATTAAGATTTTGTTTAAATCTACTAAACTTTTTATATATTATTATAGATTAGCATAAACTTTACACATTATTTGGTTTAACTTTTGCAGGTTTCTTTAACGTAAACAAGAAAGTTTCTGGAACGTCAATATTTTTTGAATCAATGCCATATAAAGTGGATCCTGAAACTGGCTTAATTGATTATGAACAGTTAGCTCGTAATGCAAGGTTATTTAAGCCAAAAATTATAATAGCGGGTGTGTCCTGCTACAGCCGATGTTTAGATTACAAGCGGTTTAGAGAAATAGCAGATGAGAATAGTGCTTATTTATTTAGTGACATGGCTCATGTATCAGGACTGGTTGCCACTGGAGTAATTCCTAGTCCATTTAAATACAGTGATATTGTATCAACAACAACTCATAAAACTTTGAGGTAATTTATTTAATTATTATTAGATATTTATATAGCTTGGTAATAGATATCATTATTATTAAATATCTTAATTTTCAGAGGACCTCGAGCTGGTGTCATTTTCTTCCGTAAAGGAGTTAGATATATTGGAAAAGATAAACAAAAAATTATGTATGACATAGAAGATAGGATTAATAATGCAGTATTCCCTGGTCTACAGGGTGGTCCACATAATCATGCAATTGCAGGCATTGCTACAGCAATGAAACAAGTCAAAACTCCAGAATTTGTTCAATATCAAAAACAAATTGTAGCTAATGCTAAAAGACTCTGTTCAGGACTTCAAGAACATGGTTACAAGATTAGTACAGGTGGCACAGATGTACATATGTTCTTAGTAAATGTACGGCCTGCAGGTCTTACAGGAGCCAAAGCAGAAAAAATTTTAGAAGACGTTTCTATTGCTTGCAATAAAAATACTATACCTGGTGACAAAAGTGCAGTCAATGTTAGTGGTATTAGACTTGGCACACCAGCAATAACTACTCGTGGTTTGGTCGAGGAAGATATTGATAAAGTTACTGATTTTATACACAGAGGTATGTCAACATTAACATAAATAATCATAGTGTAAGTAAACACAATGTCTATCTACAACTTTTATATTGGTTCAGCATTATTACTTGGTAAGGAAGTAACGAAAATTTCTGGGCCCAAAGTTGCTGATTTCAAGAATGTACTGAGTACTGACGAATCTATAAAACAAAAAGTTGCGGCCTTGAAGGAAGAAATAGAAACTTTCAGTTCTCAATTTCCCTTACCTGGCTATGAAACATATTAATAATACAACAAAACCTTTTTATATTACTTTAATATTATCAATTATTTGATAAGAATTATAAATACAACATTACATCTGATGTAAAATACGTACTTGTTCCATAAAATGAAACAAGCAAAACAAACTAAAACAAAGTGTAATATTAATATATAATATTTTATTTTTCCTCCCGCAGTACTTTGAAATGAGTGAGTATGGGATGATCAGATTCTCTTCTAGAAATAGTCTTAATTTTCTTTATTAACGTTATACCTTCGTTTTTTTAGCAACTAGTAATTCAGCGCCGAGCTTCCGTTAAGTATGATGTGAATTCTCATGATCCATCTCTTTCCATTCTTCCGACATATACATTCTTTATTTTGCAGCTGTATGTAGGT